TCTTTTCTCTCCTAAGTAAGGGCTGAGCATTGCATCTTGGTTTAGTATTGCTCAGATGCGGGCTCTAAGCTAATGATTTGATGCTCAGCAAGTGACTGGGAAATGTAAGAAGCACCAGTTTTAAACAACAAGAAAAGACAGGGACAGGAAACAGAAAGTAAGACATATATATATATATATATATATATATATATATTACATACAATATTATTCTGTATACCATATGTAGATATGTATCATATAAATTATAAATATATATTGTAAATAAATAAAATGTATGTTTGTAATGTATATTGTAAATAAAATGTATATATTTACAATATATTGTAAACAAAACTTTATTTTAATTAATTATTTTGTTTTATTTGTGTGCCTGCATGTACAGGCATGCACATGTGCCATGGCATACATATGAAGATCAGAAAATAGAGTAAGTACAGCTAAATCCCTAGATTGTCATGGAACCTAGGGAATTAATGTGGTCACCTAAGGAATTAAAGTGCCCCAACCAGAAAAGCATGGAGAGTGGGGGCCCCACTAGTTTCTGAGTTTGGGATGGAAAGATGGTTCCATCAGAGCATCCTAAAGCTGCTAGCCACCTGTGGATAGATGTGCATGTGTAGACTCTGCTTCTGAAAATCCAAGTTAACAATACTTGGAGTTTCTCTCCCTGAGCTCACTCTGAGCCTAGCCAAGACTAGCCTCTCTCATTAAACACATGGCACCATTGCTACATCACTACTGCCTTATACAAGAAATCACTCTATCTCCACACAGTTGCTTCCTATGCCAGGGATAAAAAACTGTTCACTTTCTTAATAACGAATACATGCCTCCTCTTTGTCTTGATTTGCCTGTTCATGGAGAAGTTTTTTATTTAAATGGTGCGTGTGTGTGTGTGTGTGTGTGTGTGTGTGTGTGTGTGTGTGTGTACAGATGCTATGCTGCACATGTGGTGGTCAGGAGACAACTTTGGAGAGTTGGTTCTGTCTTCTGATCTAGCTGAGGAAGGGACTCTTGTTTTGCTGCTGCACTGCATACTCCTAGCTACCTGGCTGGTGAGCCTCCTGTCTCTGCTTCCCAGGTTGCCACGAGAATGCCGGAATATAGATGCCCATCATATTCACTATTTATGTGGGCTTCAGGCATCAAACTTGGTTTGTGTGACTAGCCATTATTGCCTGCTGAGTTACCTAGCTAGCCCTTAGCAAAATATTTCTTAATGTAACAAAGATTTTTTAAAAACAAATTAAAGAATACTATTTATCAGGTGTTGCAGTTGTCTGTATGAGACCTGCTCAAGATCAAGCCAGTCAAACATCTGGCGTGGTGGGGTGGGGTTCATGACAGCTGACGGCTTCTGGACAGGGAGACGCAGTTTTCCTTATAGGTATGGCCTCTGGAAGGTCAGCTAGGCTCCAGGGGGTGGCCCCACACCTTTGAGTATGGTCAGTACAAACTGGACTCAGCAGGATAGTGAAAAGAAAAAAAGTTGAGCTGGAGGGGCGCCTCAGAGATTAAGAGCACTTGCTGCTCTTTCAAAGGAGCTGGGTTCAATTCCCAACACCCACACCAGGCAGCTCACAATTTTCTGTGGCTCTAGTGCCAGAGGACCAGAAGCTTTCTTCTACGTGCTGTGGGTACCAGGCATGAACATGGTACCCATACATACATACATACATACATACATACAGGCAAGCACTCGTGAATATAAAATAAAAAGAATCTTTTTCATAAAGTTGGGGGGAAGTTGAGGAAGTAGGGAAGGATCTGGGAGGAAAAGGCAGAAGGGGAAGGATTGAATATGATCAAAATACTTTGTATGCAATTAATCAAAATACCATGTTAAAAGAATCCTGTGTAGGCTACTTTAATAGCTATTTGATTCAGGCTCGTGGCACTCACAGTGTCAGCCTGGGAGGGCAACCCAAACCTCAGAGTTTGTTAGATACTTTGATAGCAGGGAAAACGCAGAAATCAAGGGAGGGCTTCAGGACTTAAACACCCTAGTGCCGTAGCCACATATTGAGGCGACATCTGTCAGGGTCCAGCCTTGACAGGGTTCACACATTCCAGAGTAGGGGCATGTGGATTAGAAAAATTAGGTAGGAGGAACAGAGATACAAGAGAAATAGAGACATAGGATAAAACCGGAAGGGCTATTCTGCAAATACTGAATACGCCTTTGTTTATTTTCCATATGCTTATATACTCTAATCCAAAAAAGAAAGGAAGGAGGCAAAAGACTGTTTTAACAGACACAAAGGACAAACAGAACAATCAATTGCTTCAATACTTGAAATATCAAGCAACTATATCTTTTAGTAAAATATTCTGTTGTTTAGGCAGGACATATAACAACCACATCTTAGACCAAGCATCCTGTAGGCAGCTACTCCCTGGGCCAAACCTCCTGTCATATCCTTGAAGGAGCAGAGATAGGCTTGACTTCTCTCATCTTTGGTCAAGGTGGAGCAGATCCACCTCAATGAGCCACCTTAATATCCAAAACACCAAGTAACCACACCGTAGGTCAGAATGTCTTGTGTGTAGCCACTCCTTAAGTCAGACTTCTTGTCAGTAACTTTGGAAGAGTATGAGTAGGCTTATGCTCTCTGACCTCCAATCAAGGTAGCATGAACCCACTTCTGTGGGCCCCCACACCCTAACATTGCTGTTATATCTACCTTGTGTCCAACGGACACAGACAATTCAGGGATTTGATTGTTGTCAACTCATGAACGGGTTATCGTGGAACATGATCTTCACCTTAACGTCTGTCTGCAGTGGATCAGAAAATGTAACAGTGGGTCCCCATCACAGATGGTTTGAAAAGTGCTGATTTGATGAAAGTTATTTCCAGTTGAGCATCTTATGAAAATAACTATCCCGATTCCCCCACAAGATGTGGGCAAACACTACTGATGTGTAGGATATGATACATGGTCCACATTCTCTTTCATGTGTGAGACATGCATGTACGTGTGCATGCATGCTATCCTGAGCATGGGGATATGTGTGCATATGGAGGTCTGAGCTTGGTCCTGGGAATCCTTTTTAATCAATCTCCCACCTTATTCATTAAGGCAAGTTCTCTGTGTCAAACCCAGAACTTGACAATATAGGCGGTGTCACTTGTGGAATTACAAGGCTGTCACTATGCCCATGTGACATCTACATGGACTCTGGGGATCCGAAATCCAAATCCCTTGCTTTCTACCTGGCATTTCCTTGGATTCTGGGGGTCTGAACTCTATAGCTATCTTACTTATGTGCAAGTGATGAACCACAGAGCAATCCCCTCAGCCCATGGTCTGCATTTTTAACAATGGAGATACTGAACTTTGGAAAGTGGCTAGGCCAATTGAGTTATACTCAACACCAGATACATACCAGATCTCTAAGATTTTTGAAATGAATTATGGAATGTGAACTACCTCATTAAATGTTTTCATGTTGACAGGCTGAAATGATAGTATTTTAGATGTATTAGGTATGAGATATATAAATTAGATAAATTTGCTTTATTGTTACTACAGTATATTTTTACTGATAAGATATCTTTGACAGTTTTATACATGTATATAATATTTTCTGATTATTCCCTCCTCTTTCATTCTCTTATCCTTTCCCCACCCCTTCCAGCTCCTAACTGCCCTACAATTCTCTTTTCAAACTCCATGGCTTTTGTTTTGTGACCCCTTGCGTTTAAACTGGGCCATCTGTGTATGGGTTCAGAGCACTTATTTGAGCCCGGTGGATTCACCAGTGGGTTCATCAATAGAAACTCTGCCTTCCTCTCACCTAGTCTGTTAACTGACAGAATTTCAGCAGTAAGTGGTAAGGCCCAATGTGCTCCTTCCTAGTTTATAGCTTAACTGTTGGCTGGGTCATTCTTTTGTAGGTCAGATGCCAGTATTGACAGCAGATATGAATTCATGATTTCCATGGCAGTGTCATGCTTAAAAGAATGTATTCTGCGGCACTTCTTTCTAGCTTTGAGCTCTTGCACTCGGCTGTAATGATCTCTGTGATAACCTTCTTAGGATGTGGTGTGAATGCCTTGTTTAGGGCTAAGCCTTCAACCACCATTTATTCTCAGAACCCTGTCCAGCCACAAATTCTGCATTTGCTTATATTCACTGCACAGATAGGCTTCCCAAATTTGGGCAAAAAATGTCCTTTGTGAGTACAAACATAGATGTATAGAAGGCAGCTTGATGTTATGCTTGTTTAACTAAACAGCAGTGTTGTGGGTTTCCCCACTGGTGCCTAAGACCTCCTCAGTCACAATTATGTGACTGTGTATGAAGTACCAGGGATGGATTAACTCTCATGGAGTGGGCCTAAAATTCAAGCAGAGAATCATTGGTTACTCATATAGCATCCATACCATTATTGTGCAATGTAGTTCACAGAGTTCACAGCTGGGTAGAACCACTGGTGCCTTTACTCCCTGCAGCACCCTGTGTAGCACTGTTTGACACTGCCATGAAAAGTAGACAACAGGGAGGAGGCTTCCAGCTCAATGGTTGTTTGATTTATATATATTTGCATTCAAGTGTGGTACCTTTAGGAACAGAGTTTCCCAAATCAACAGCCACAGAGGTATCCCACTCCTGAAGCTGAAAATTTTGTTTAGTGACCCATTGCTTCTAGGACTGACATTATCTATCCATGGGAGGCATCTGTCAAAGAATTATTCTATGTCTTTTAAATTGGATTACAAGGTAACAAAGAGAGCAAGTTTCTAGGTGGCTTTTCAGATCCCCTTCATTTTGGCTAACCCCTCTCTATTCTGCCATCTCCCCATCTTCTATCCCTCATGCTGATTAAAGCTTCCCACCTCCAGCATCCTCCCTACCCACCCACATTTTACCTATGAGTAACTGTCTCCCCTCCCTTTGGGTCTTCTCCCACAACTGCTCTCTTTCTAAACTCTGGCAGTTGGGGGGGAGGGATATAAAAAAATGTAATGGCACACTCTGGTTGTGTTAAACATGACTGTTCCATGGGTGTGTCGGTAGAAACCCCAGGGTTGTAGTTGTCTATACTGTACCAAGTGTAACATGGGGCCTAGCTTGCCTCTCTTCTCCTTGCTGCTGCTGCTGCCCCTCTCCAGTGAGTTCCCTTAGTTACCAAGTACAGCATTTAAGTGCTTGCTTTTCACTTTGCCACACAGATTAACTACAAGGCTGTTGGCTCACTGGATCCAAATGCCGACCTGTCCAGCCAGAGGGGAAAAGTGTTCAAACTCCGGAATGAAACTCACCACCTCTTTGTGGGCCTGTACCCAGGAACCACCTACTCCTTCACCATCAAGGCCAGCACAGCCAAGGGCTTTGGACCCCCTGTCACCACTCGGATCGCCACGAAGATCTCAGGTATCTCTTTTAGAAAGAGAAATGGGGTGGGTTATAGTCCTGTCTCCTGCAGCCTTTATAATTTCCTGAAGTAAAAAGAGACAGAATAGACCATCACTGATGGCAACTGAACAATTTAGATAATGATGTCACTATTGGGCTGAAAAACGTCCTATTGATAAACTTTCTGAAGTTCACCAAGTAACGTGCCCTGGGGTGGAAGTAAAAAGAGAGAGAGAGAAAGAGAGAGAGAGAGAGAGAGAGAGAGAGAGAGAGAGAGAATGTATGTGAAAGAGAATGTGGGGGGGGCACATAAAATGGTTTGTAAATTTGTTTTCCAAATAGAATACTTTCCAGTATAAGATACCTACAGCACTGTCACTCATGAAATACCGGATGGATGGATGGATGGATGGATGGATGGATGGATGGATGGATGGATGGTTGGATGAATGGATAGATGGATGGATGGATGATTAGGCTGTGCTAGCCCAAGACTGCAAACTGTCTCTACCAGTGGGATGCATTACACCGCCTAGGAGCATTAAAACAGAACCACTGCAGAATGCTTATTTACAGCTTCCATATTTTGGAATATCTATTCAATCTGATCTGCATGCATATGTATTTTGCATGTGGTTTTACAAAAGCCATGTTTTTTTTGTAGCTTAATGTTTCCACTTATCCTCATCCCATAAGTATTTCCCACACTGCTGCGTGGCTTTCATTATAATGTCTGTCAACTGGATGGACGTAATTTAATTAAACACTCCCTTGTGGTCGAATATATTTGGTGTTTCTACATTTTTATAAAATAGCGCTTCAATAAACATGTTACAAAATAAAGTTTAAATCGTTGATTGGGATTATAACTTCAGGATTAAATTCAGAAATTGAAAAAAAGCATTAAAAGAGATGTGGGGTTTTAATGGCTCATAATACAAATGGCTAAATTACCCTTTCAAAGAATTAGATTTAGTCACACTCCTGTGGGGGGAGAGGGTCTTAGAAAAAAAATGGAACAAATTCATCTTTGCTTTAATTTGCATCTAAATTTGTTTAAGGAGGTTGACTCTGTTTTCGCATCTTTATTAAGGACTTATATATCCTGTGCATTCCTTTTTCCTGCATGGGAGAGGCGCTTTTTGATGATGCTCGTGCCTAAACCCCCTTCAGACTGTTGCATCTGGAGTGAAGCTGCAGGTGGGATGCCAAGGCCCCCCATGACGAAGGCCTCTGATACCACAGGGTTCTCACTCTCTACCTCTGTTCAGCCAGGCTGAGATCAAGGGGGCATGTCAAGGGGCGTTTGGTATATGAAGTCCTCAAGTCCAATTTCTCTCTCTCTTGCCCAGCTCCATCGATGCCTGAATACGATGCAGATACACCACTTAATGAAACAGAAACCACCATCACAGTGATGCTCAAACCTGCCCAGTCTCGGGGAGCCCCTGTCAGGTGAGGAGCTATCCCTTGTGGCTTTCTTCTGCTATACCTCATGCATCACCAGGTGAATCACATGACTGGCAGTGTGTCTGGATGAGATAAGCCCGAAGCCAGATTTTCCCCAAGGAAGAGGGTCAGCAACTCTAAGCTCAATTCAGAGGCAAGGGCTGAGCCAGTGTCTTATTTCCCCACAGTGGGCATCCATTCAGATGCTCACCTGGTAGGGACCTCAAATGGTAAAGGTAATTGTGGGTGGAAAACCTAGATACAGGAATCTTTGCAAGACACCCGTCTCACTGCCATAACAGACAGACAGATGTCCTGTGTTCTCCAGGTAATCTGCTCACATAGTTCAAATATGAGCCCAAGGGACTGGTTCAGTCCAGAGATATGTGGTGTTAAGAGTCCCACAGGGGCTATATTTTTAGGATCTCACTGTTTATTTTTGTTGGGGCCCAAGAACATCATTAACTTGTTGACTTGCGAAAGTTCCTAACTATCAGGATGGGCTGGCATTTATTTTCTACAAGATTCCCTTTGCACAAGGCAACAAAATTGACTGCTGGTTTTGCTCAGAACTCTGGGTCTCAGGACCTCAGTCCATTGAAATGAGAAGAATGTTAGGTAGAACTTCCAGATTGGCTCAGTTTAGTCCACCAAGCACGTACCAGATTTCTTATACGCAATGGATGGGATGTGGGGACTGGAGACAATGATTCACTGAGCACATATCTTCATTAGTTTAAGTGCTTGGGCTATGGTATCAGCTGGTGATATGTTCAAAGGAAGCCAACCTGTAGTTAAAGAAACAGATACATGGCATAGGTACAATGCTGTGCAGTCTTATGGGAATCTTCACAGCAGCTTAGCAGCACTCAGAGAAAACTCTCAAAGAAGGTGGCACTCGGTTGTATAAGGTTTGACTTCTGACAAGTGTCCAGTATGAACCAGGATGGCTTATTATAAAAAGGAATCAATCATGCTTTAACCTATAGCAGGGGCAGAGGAAGAGATGGAGAGGAATCGGTGGGTCTGAGAGGTGTGGACTTATTTGAGGACCTTGGGGGATCTGTCAGGGATTGACTTTTAGCAGCATCACCTTGTTTCCTCTGGGAGTTAGGAGACCAGCCTAGAAGGAGGCTCTTGAGATACATAGTCCTGGTCTTCATTTTCAACCCTCATTCAACTCTATCCAGAAATTATAGTGGTGGGACCAACAGAACGAACCAACAAAAATGCAGAAGTTCTTGCCTAATCTGAAGCTGGGTGATGGCCCTCTTTACTGGGCTCAAGGGATGCAGCCCTGCAGCAGGTTGGGATGATGCTCATGGGCCTCTTACTATAGGATGTCAGAACTGTCCTTCTTCTGATAATTCAAAGAAGATATTGGCATTTCAAGCCAAGGTACTCCTTCCCAACTTTCCCTCCAGCTGCTCTGATACAGCATCCTCATTTAATTTTCCATTTATACTATGAGCCGGTGTCTTCATTTTCAGAGGAGGAAGCTGAGATGCAGAAACAAAGTAAAGGTCCTGTGAAGCTCCCCCCGCCCACACACACCCCAGTTTGAAGATATGGAAATAGACAAACAGAAGCTAATGAGTTGACTTAGACCGTGAAACCAGTGGGGCAGGAAACCAGTGGGGCAGGCAAGATAAGATGGAAGCCCAATTCTGACCCTAGCTCCACATTCATTTTACTGAACCACGCCATCTTGCTAGGAGGATGGTATGCATGGCATAGCTTGCTGACATTTCCATCTTTAAGAATTAAAGGAAATGTCACTGCTCAAAGGGGAAATGGTTGGTGTCTAGAAATCTCTGGCTGCTTTCCTTCCCAAGGCCCCGGTTCACTGAGAGTGGGTGTACCCTCTGTCTCTGGAATTATTTTCAGACCAGAACTTGGGCATTTGCCAAGGGGAGGAGACCAAGCAACGACAAAGAGGGGGCCTTTCAGGACAACTGCCGTGAGAGCAGAAACACTGCTATAGATTTTAGTTGCAGTAATCCGATTCTTACCTGGGCATGAGCCCGGTCATGAGGGTGTGCATCTTGGAGGCAGCTGGACACAACAAATATTTATTGAGCATTTGCTATGGACCAGGAGGTGAGCTAAGCAATCTGGGTATTGCATGAAGCTAGAAAGGCCCTCTCTGCTTTCTTGAGTGAGGCTCACCATCTCGCAAGGGTGTCAGAGAACAGATAGGCAGGTGAGACAACAAGCCAATACGTAGACAAATGAGGTCACAAAACAAGTAGATGGTTGGGGTGAACTGACTTTCTAGACTGAGAGGAACTGTGGGCACAGTGGAGAGGTGAGCTGCGTGTGGGCAAGCTGGCACTGAGCTGCTCTGGACACCGGGAATCTGGAGCAGGTAGGAAAAGTGACCTGGTTGTTCTGACCCCAAAGGCTTGCTTCAGGTGTCTGGCCAAAGATGCCTTGAATTATATTTTAAAGTAGAGAAGGTGTCCTAATACCTGAGAGCATGGTATGGTAAATGCAGTAGACAGCAATTTGTAACGTGTTTCACATAGACAGAAAAATGTAAGTGTTCCCAACACAGAAATGATGTTTCAGAAGCCCAGTTACCCTAAATCACTCCTGATATATGGTATTTTCAGGTATCGAACTTGTGCTCAGTAAATACAAGTATCATATGTCAATTTAAAATTAACCGTGTTTAAGGAAATAATTTGGTCTGGCAAGATGGCTCAGCAGGTAAAAGTGCTTGCCACCAAACCCAATGCTGTGAGTTCAATTCCTGGGCCCCGCATGGTGGACGAAAAGACCTGATGCATGCAGACTGTCTTCTAATCCTTAAACTTGCTCGTCGTCCCCCCCTGCAAATCAACAAATGTAAATGTATAAAAAGACATTATTATGACAATATTTTTACTTCTGTTGCACGATCTGACTCTAAGTATTCCTGTGGATGAATTAGTTGAGAGCTAGCATCTCTATTTCAGAGAGAAATTGACATCTGTGATGTTAAACGAGGGGTTCCAGGTCCTGGCGGGGAAAACCAATTGTTTAGTTCATCTTATCAGGGCTGTAACACAGCACCCAAACAATTCAAAGGAGGAGGAGTTTCCCTGGAGGTCACAGTTCCAGGGTATGGTCTGGCAGGGCAGGAAAGTCATGGCTGCAAGAGGCTGCCCGGACTCCCTGCATTGTATCCTCAGGCAGGAAGCTGTGAGTGATTCTGTTGCCGTTTCCCTTTCTCCTCTTCATTCAATCCAAGACCACACCCTGTGGAACGGGCTGCCCACATTGAGGATAGGTCTTTACGCCTCAATTAATGCATTGTAGGAACCCCCCTCAGAGGCAGAGAATTGTCGCCTGCTCATTCTAGATCCTGTCGGGTTGACAACTTGTGTTGACTGTCAGTTAGTTGAACATAGGACAGGCTCTGAGATCGTTGCTGCCTCACGAGTTCACACTTCTACTTCTACTGTGTCCAGGAAATCTGGAAGAACTTTTGAGAGGATGCTGTATAGTCAGACATTTTTCCAGCTGGGAGATGACTTTTTTTGGGGGGGGGAGGGTCCTCCAACTCTGGATTGTATGGGCCCAGCTTGATCCTTTTGTGTATTTAACTACTTGGTTCTCAGATTCATACCGAAGCCTTGGCCCCCAGGTCTCTGAGCAGTCTTTTCTTCCTCCAAGCCACAGTGCTTAACCCCTGACAGAGCCAAATTCCCAGCTACCACTCTTTGGAAACCTCCCAAGTTTGACTCCTAGTAGGGCTGAGAATTCAGAGTGAGGAAGGGAACATTGAAGAGCCAACTGCATGAGGTTCCTGTACCCTCACCCTCCAGCCAAACCACCTCGGCAGCTTGGCCTATTTTTCTAATACTCCACAATGGAGATTTATTGCCTTTGTATTGCTCTCCTCGGGCCTTCAAAGATTTATTGGTTTTTAAGTGACAGAATCCCAGAATTGCTTAAAAGATCAATCAAATGGTGACGAGAATCTAATATTCAGCTCTGACTCGAACACGCCGAGCCCTCTTCCCCCACGCCCTACCTGTCATGCTGATGTATCTGTGGTAACCTTCATAAGAAAGTAACTTGGCCATGAATTAATCACCCATAATGCAGTTCCTGCAGTGAGAACGAGGGCTCTGTAACAAAACCTGTGGGAGATGCTCCCCGGCTACAGCAGACTTCTTGCGAGTATCCTTTCCCATCTCGCCTCTCTTGTCCATTTTGTCACCTGCGTTGTCTCTTGATTTGCAAATCATCCCTGCATGGCAACACTGCTTCTCTAGTCCAATTGTCCTGGTCAGCAAGCATGCCCTTGCTGATGTGTTTGTCAAGAGCATCTCTCTCAGGTCCATCCCCCACCACACTGCTGGAGTGGTCCCTGGGAAGCACAAATTGGATCAAGTTAGCTTCCCTGCTTAAAATTCTTAAATGGGTCACTAGTTTTCTATTGCATTAAGTTGAAGCTTCTTAGCATGAAATTCAAGGCCTGTCAGCATCTGCCCTTAACCTTATTCCTAGTTTCATTTAAATTCACTCTGTCCCTTTACCAGGTTTTACTCAACAGTGATCCATGTGATTCCTTCGTGGTTTTTCCCTGCATGTTTAACTGTGTTATGCATGAATTTATAAGCTTTCTTTGTTTTGAATTTTTGTTTGTAATTTTATTGCTTTGGTTCCTTTGTTTTGGTCCCAATAGACTTGAAGGCTTAGCACTATTGGGTCTTCTTCACATGGGATAATGCCTAGCCCATAGTTGGCGCAAACAGACAAATAAAAACACAAAGGGAAAAGAAAACCCAACAAGTAGTTGCTAAAGTATGTGTTTATTAAATTCAGCAAATATGTCGTGCCAACCTTGTCAATTCCAGATGTCAAGGCTGTGTGAATTTTCTTCAGCTACCTTCTATCTCACAACAGATTGTTATAAGATAGGTCTTTCTCTAACAATAAAAATTCCCTTCTTTGTGAACTGTCTGGTAGGATCTCCGCTGACCAGATGTGACTGTCAAGCACTTGACACATTC